TTTAACAAATGTTTTTGGGAGAGGCAGAGCAAACATGTGAGCCTTCATGTCACGCTCATGCGTGCATCGTCCCACACTGCTTGTCATCACCAGCGCTCACCGGGGTGCCATGTAACGGGGAAAGAATGATTCTTTGACTTTGTTCCTAGAATTATTTTGCAAATTTCGAATGCAAATTTGAGATCAACATCCGGAAACAGATCAGCTACATCCAGCTCATCTTGGGTGAGCACTGCGACCTGGTTTGCTTCTCTTACTTACAAGCTTATACAGTACTGAATTCTTCCACTGAAGTGCTTCCGTTGGCAGTATTATTGCGATATCTGTCACTTCCTTGTTCCATACCACTTTGAGTAAAAGTGGAGAGTCGGCATATCACTTTGAGTAAAAGTGGAGAGTCGGGGGTGGATCCGACGTGACCCAACTCCTCTTACAGATCTATGCTCCCAACCAATTTTTGCCTCAATTAGAACTACGTGCATAGAAATACCATTGAACGACTAAAAAGCTTTCGACTACGGGTATATTCATGGACGGGTACAAATAAGAAAAGGGAGTCATCAAGCAATCTCTACAAGGATCCGAAAACGTCCAGTTCACGATCCTTATCACTCGAAAACTTTAACTTCCGCGTCTCTCAAACCCAGTAAACGGAGATATGGCAAGCAGAGCTCTTTTCTACTGATTTTCTCACGTCTTGCGTTGTAGCGACAATTCCGCAAAGGCATTTAGCTTTCACGAAACGCACTGTTTTCTTCTTAACATGATGTGAAAGATCTTAAGAGGCTCTTTAGGTGAATGATATCCACAGTTACACAAGAGAAGTTCTCATCCCTTTCTCGTAGCGTCGTGGACACATTTTAATGAGCCTTGACTTCGCTAGCAACGAAGAAACCAACGTTGTGATTAATGACTTGCTTTTGTTCGGATCTCATGGTGTGATCCGTTTCCCCTTACTGGGATAGTTTCCCAAGAAAGGGAAGTGGACCACAGACCGGCGGACGTTTTTTCTTAACTTTCCCAAAAGGCTTTGAATACTAACGTATTTGGGTGGATCTAAAGGTTCTGCAATGTCTTTCACACGTGGAATCGCCAAAACGATCTTTCGAGCTCACAGCCAGTATGTCAACGGCCATAGAGTGCTGGAAATGATAGTCCTCCGGAGCCACTGATGTACGATCCCATGTATATCGAATTTACTTCTTTTTCTGTGCTGTTATGCAAAATATACGGGCAAAAGCAATTTATCCATTATCAGCCCTTGCTAACAGATGTTTCCCGATTAGTCTTGGACCTGATTCAAGAAGATCTGTGATGGTGTAGGTAACTGATTGTGAGAGCCAATGTACAAATGGTCCGTTAATCGTTTCCCGGATCTATTCTTGCCCTGACCTACTGGACCATCCTTCCGGGGTCGGTTAATCGATTCCAAACTCGACTGCCATTACAATTCTTAATATTCACATTCCAAAAAAAAAGGATCTCTTCAGAAGACTAGCAGTCAAAGATGTAGATTTGAATGTGTCTTATGCTAGTCAGTTATGTGGCTGTGGCTATGTTGTTTATTTTTCTCGACACTGGATGTTCCGCATATGTGCAGAAGTCGCAAGCGGAAACATATTCTAAAGGGTGGTAAAAGGAAGATTTCCGGCTACCGAAACTTTTTATTGAGAATGAAGGATAAAGTCTTGAGGCGTTAATCAATCCCGTTCGGGGTATGTGCCACCCATTCAACTTCCATTCAAAATCGCAGTGGCGTCCTGAATGCATACGTATGTGACCTTCAATGTCTTTCGATGACCAGCCGATGTACATTTCAGTGCTTTTACGCTCCCAGATTAGACGGGTAGCGATCCGGGATTCGAACACGTGACCATGCGGTATGAAATGCGCCATTTGCCCCTACACCACCTCCACCCTTTGCGTATAGTCAAGATAATAAAGTGGAAAAAGACGATTGCTTCATGCTGTATAAAATAGAAAAAGCCTCAAAGATGGGTTTAGTTAAGAAGGGTCATCAATGTTGTGAACCTATTTTGTAGACGAGGACGCCAATTCCACTTGGTAGGTAAGAGCAAGATTTCCCCCATGAGATCTATTCTAAGTCTTGTTGGAGACTATTCAGGCGGTGTTTTGTTTGAGAACTACTTCTCATGCTACGGGAAGTCTATGCGTATGTTTGCGATTACTTGTTTGAGATTGCTCGTAGTCGTCAACACTCCAAAAAGCCTCTTCATGCCATTGTGACTTACATTGACAGTTGCCCTTCTCAATGGTATCAAAATTCAAAGGAGCAGACGAGTTCTCATTGTATGTCTCAGTTTTTTGCGATTCTATTTTAGAACGAGTGTACTAGTGCTTTGGAAAGTCTTCAAAGAATGCCTGCAGAGTACTGTAATCGGTCATTGAGTATTTCTATACGATGCACCCATTCTGGAGCGAATGATTCCATCGAAATGGTGCAAAGGAGAGATATGTACATATGTCCTGTGTGGCGTGGTTTAGTAAACACCCTATGTAAGAGAATATGCTAATTGTAAGAATAGAAAGAAAAAGAATCTAAACGACAAGTATCTTCAGAGCATAGCAGTTCATCCTGCCAACTTATTTTTATTTTGTTGATTAATCAATAATACGATAGTAAGAGTAGCTGCAACGGCAAGCAGTTCACCCTCTGTTCACTAATAATGGATAACCGCTTTCTGTCCTTTCAGCAAGTTCCTAAGCTTAGAGGTATTGGAATTACGAGGTCCTGAATGGAAGTAGAATGCGGAGGCGTAGCTTGCGGACGGGATTGATCAACGCCCAAAGACTTTACCGCAGTGGGTATGATACGTGCACGAGGATATAATGACGCAAGGCTTCTACAACTTTTAGGTTGTAAAATTTTCCAAAAAAGTTGAACTTGAATAATACTTGTGTGGTTATTGAGATTTCATTACAGCTACATTCATATTAGGGTCAACGACCTCGCAAAAATTCGAAAAAGGTAGCTCCCACTTCTCCTTGGTTTTTAAATACTCGATCCTTCAAGATTCTCGTGTGTGTAATTTTGAACTGGTAACGTAAAACCGTTCAAAAAGCAGACTTATATCTACAGAAAAAGGCCTTCAAATTTTAAGAGCTCCACGGAATTTCGGAAAAAACGCTCTGACGGGAGGAACAACTAGTGACTTCCTTAAGGCGCGTTCAGCACAACGTCGATTGTTTTGGCTTGACAACCGCCAAAATTTGAATTTGAATTACGCGTGCGCGGCGAGAACTTTCCTGACAACCTCAAAATATGTGTGAACTCCAATGATAACATGTCGGAAATTTGTGGAAAAGGATTTGATTAAGAAACGACCTAACTTATCGGAAACAGCAACCAAAAATAGCAAGCAGTGTTACTTGGGATATGTCTCATCAAGGTGATAAACATGATTGATACTTTCGGAGGCTGCCTTTGCCTCTCGATCAGTGCTGTTAACCTTTCAGAAGATTGAGGACCACCTATTCTATAGCTGAGGGGCAAAAGCTCAGTCGGCCGATCGGGATCGAGTCAGGACGCAATCCCTATCTCATATGTGGGTACTGCGCCGCTTTTCACTGCACCCGTTCCACCTAGAGATTTGTATCTAATCTCTTAATGATGAAAGGAATCTGGATCATTCAGGTGCCTCATTTCTAAGACTGTTTTTTTTCTTGTTCTTCATTTTTTGGATGAAAATGTGTTGGTAGAATGTAGTGAACCCTGAAGTGCATCGGCTTAATGTCTGCCCGTTGAGTCTCAATTACGGATTAGATTTCAGTTTGCCGTAATCAGCATTCACATCAATTGATTTATAGTCCAGAAATGAAGCTAGAACTATGTATGCTTGCTTTCTACAGCAAAAAATTAGCGTCCAAATTAAATAGAAAGTCTGAATGCAATCACGTCTCACAATATCCCGCTCAAGGAACATTCATATNTGTTCCCGAACTGCTATAGAAATGTCGTGCTAACGTTGCGTGGGCTGTTGAGATATCAGTTTTTCAAGTCACCTGAGCGAAATTCGTGTTTGCACTTTGGGGGTGGCACTTGGATGGCAGAAGGCTCCACACCCTTCAAGTTGTCCTCCAATTCAACTTCTCAGTAACTTAGCCCCCACTGGGTATAGATACCAAGGTTGCATTGGATTGCTTAACCCATGCCTGAGTCGCTACTCTACTAAAGTAGTTCTGTTTTTATTCCGATACTAAATTTTATGGGCAGTTCTCTCGATGCCGTTGTCTGAAATGTGCTTTTCGAGCTTGTTCCGCTACGCAATCCCTGAAGTACATCCTAAAGTATGTCTTCTAAATAGAAATTCAGCATTCTGGTAATCTCCAGGTTATGGAAGCTCCCATGGAATACCGTACCTTCTCCTTGGTTCAAGACTAATGACCAACGAATGCGTCTACCCAAAGACCTTGACTGTTTTCTCTGATATTTCTCTTTTTCAGGAGCGTACTGTTATTACAGTGCCCTAATGCCTTGATTGTTGCTCTACAGAGCTCTAGGAAAGACCGTTGAAGAGCGCTCAGATGCAACGATGCGAAGTAGGGAATTTCAACGATGCCGTCGACAAATGCGGCGAGATTTCATGCTTCCCGTACTGGCCAGTCTCGCCGTTGGTTTTGGTGTCATTGCAATCATTACGAGTTCCATTCAAGGTAATTTTTACTGTCGCAGTATATATTTCCTTGAAGGTTATGTTTTTACCAGCGTTCTGTTCTCAGATTCTCAGGAGGTGTAACCTAAACACCCGACTTTGGACAATCCCAAATCTGCTACCATCTTTGTAAGGTTCGGATCAAAAATTTTAGAGTTTCCACCAATTCCACATTGAATGTGCCCCCTTTCCGGTATATCTTCCAATTCTATCACTGGAAGCGCTTCAACTACCCTAAAATTCCATAGATAAGAGCGGGTGAACCTAACGGTGAAAAAAGAATTGGAAAAATCAAAATTGAATGCAGTCACCCCTCTAACTTGATGGATGGATAAATTAAACTTCGAAGAAGAAGTTGAGAAGAAGCTCCGCCCCTCACCTCCAAACCCCGCCCACTTAATAAACAATTCATATAGGAAAA